AGGACTGCCTCATGCACACCCTTATTCATTGTCTCAATCAGAAGTCTATGTACGCCCAGATCTTAAGAACAAACGACTGCTAGTATAATTATTGTTTTTGAACAGAAGGCAGTTTACTTAATCTAACCTGACATCTCAATGATAGTCCACGAAAAAATAAGGCTTTCCCCTAAGCAGGCTTACTATATAATTGCACACACAGCAGACTAGCAGAGTGTACTCTAAACCATTAAGGAAACAAGCAGTAAAACAAGTTAAGAAGGACAAACAACAAGAAAGGTAAAAGGTAACATACAAAAGACATGAGACAAATTGCACAATCTTGTAAACTGCATGACCGCACCCTAAACAAAGCAAAAGATCATACAAAAATAATTCTGAGATTAAGTAATTGGAGGTATGAACAAAATTAGTTGACTCTCCAAATGAACTAATATTTGAACTATGGAGGTTAATAAGACCAAACATATTGAACTATGGAGCACCATTTCAGTATTACAATAGATAGATGCTTCTTTAAGTATATATCTACATATCAAATAAGAGAATCATGGTTACTCAGTTAAGGTCAGTTTAAAGGTGCTTAGATAACAATCGAACCATTGGTGAAAGAGTAAAAACATGGAGAGAAAAAAATCGAAGAACCAGGAGATCCAAAGTTCTTTTGGGAATTCATACTTCCTGAGGGACTGGTTGCACAGCTCGGCAAGGCCCTCGATCTCCTCGAGCTTGCTGACAAGTGCAGCTTCAAGTTCCCACCCCTTCTCCTCCAGTACAGCATTTGCATTCTCCAACTTGGCAATATCATGCTCCACCGCTTGCATCTCCCTAGCCATCCTATCGACGTCCCTGACATTCACCACCTGCGTCTCCACCTGTTTCAGCAGCTCCTCATTCTCGGCCATCGTCTGCTGGCAATTCATCACCTTGGCCTCCAGCTCCTTCTCCTTCTCCACCAAGGCATCTTCCTTCTCCTTGATCTTGGTGGACCAGCTCTCCACCACCGCCTCGAACTTCTGAACGTCGGTGGTAAATGCATCCTTCTTCTCCTCCAGCGCCTTGAGGCGAGAGGGCGCGGACAATTGCTTGCTCCGCTTGGCCTCGAGATCCTGAACCTCCTTCTCCAGGTCCTGAATGGCCACCCCCAACGCACCGACTTGGGCGCGGGCCTTGGAGTGGTAGTCGTCGTCGAGGGAGGCGACGGCGTCATCCTCGCCAGTGAGGAACAGGTAGTAGCTCTCGGTGATGTAGGTCATGAGGTCGGTGGAGGGGGGAGGGGACGCGGCGAGGCCGTCGGTGGCGCGGCAGAGGAGGGTGAGCCAGTAGAGGACGGAGAGGAGCGGCGGCCAGGAGTGCGGGGTGCCGGGGGCCTTGAGGGCGGATCTGGTGACCTTGTAGGGGCATCCGAGGGAGCGGAGGAGGGCGAGGAGGTCGTCCTCCCAGGCGGCGGGCTTGAGGGGGTAGCGGAGGCGGT